AAACTAATTTTATAAATGTTATATTCTCATTTTAATAAAAAAAATTAACTGATTCTATTAATTTATGATTAAAATTTTCACATCTTTAAATTTAAGTTCAAATTTAACAAGTTAAGGGCTAAACACATATTTAGCCAGAACATCAGACTAGCTCCAGTTTTTACAAACGGGTCTCTGTTTTCTCTTTATTACACCTTCTTGACCCTAAAATATTACTCGAATTTCAATTACATCCCGAACCTTTTTAACCTTTGAAAAGCCCAACCTTTGAAGAAAAAGACCGCTATTCTTTTTTTTTTTTTTTTGGGCCCAACAAAAGACCGGTACTTTGAGAATTTGAGAGCACTAACTTTGGGCCTCTCTGATTGTTTCTTTATGTCTCTAGCTTTAAATAACCAGACAACTAGACCCAGCCCAAACCACTAATCGATATCCAACTTTTGTTTAGGCTCAAAATTAAAGTTTGGGTTGTGTTTCTTTCCAATCCGTTCGCGCTTAATGGCTTTATAACCCGACAAAAGCCATCCAGCCCAAATTACAGATTGATCCAAAATCCAACTCCAGTTTAGCCCCAAAATTAGGGATTGGGTTGGGTTCCTTTCTCCCCATTCGCGCCGCTACCCGACAATTAGACTATCGATCCAAAATCCAACTTCAGTTAGGCCCAAAATTAGGGTTTGGGTTGGGTTTCTTTCCCGTCGTGTCGTCACTCGTCCCTCGTCAGCGCCTGCAGTCTCCGACGACGACCTACCCGGTACAGCACTCCGGCGAAGCCAGTACAGCAATCCAGCGTACCCGCACTCAAGGCTTCCAAGGTACGTCTTTTATTAGGAGTATAAAAGGAAAAAAAAAAAAAAACGTAAGTAAAGTCTAAAAATAAAGAGTTTTAGTGGGTACTGTTCTCTTCGGCACTCTCAACTCAGCATCTTTTCAAGTTGAAATCGGGAAGGAGGATCGAGTTGAGTTTGTTGGGCTGAAGTTTGTTAAGTACGAAAGGAAGTTCCTACAATCATCAAATATGGTGAGTTAGGTTTTATGGTCTCTCTCACTGCAGTTTTCTTGATATTTTCTGTTTGGTTCACGGGAAATTGTGGAAAAGAAAATTTTTTTCTCTTTTTTTTTTAATTGTTTCAAAATTTTGTGTTGGTTTCTGAATGATTGCAGTCGGACATTAGGAAGTGGTTCATGAAAGCCCATGATAAAGGTAAAGGCAATGGTAACGCATCAAAGCCTGTTAATCCTGCAGCTGCACCACCCAATGCAGAACCAGAACCAGTGAGTTCATCCCTTTCTCCTCCTTGTGCTGCAATTACGAATGTTTTTATTATTCAAAGAAAGAAAATTTGTGTGCGGATGCATATGTTAGTGAATCGTGATCTGACTTTGTAATTTGTTTCTAGGAACTGAGTTAAAAGAGTTTGATGGACCATGTATTGGGGTCTAATTAGCCAACATGGAATATATGTGTCTTTCTATTTGTGTAATTTCATCATGTAGGATTAATTTTGGTGCAGGGAGACCAAGAAATTTCGGCCAGAAGGAAAACCAGCAAGTATTTTTCTGCAGACAAACAAAAGCAGAAAGATGGAAAAGGTGTACAGGAGCCTCCAGGCAAGAGAAAATTTCAAAATGACTCTAGTGAATCACCAAAACCACCACCATCTAAACGAACTAGTAAAGTTGATGAAGATGATGACTTTGTCTTACCTGAGTCAAACAATTCTATTGAGGTCACTCCCAGTAATAAACAAAAGAGTAGTACGGGTAGGGGGGTTTCTAAGAAAACTGTAGATATTGGTGAAAGCGATGAAGATGTTAAAGATATTGAGACTCCTGTAAAGTCTCGTGGAAGGGGTCGTGGTGGCAGGGGTGCATCAGGGGCACCAGCTAGTGGAAGAGGTAGAGGTGGTGGAAGGGGTGGATTTATGAATTTTGGAGAAAGAAAAGATCCTCCACATAAAGGAGAGAAGGTAAAAGCTTACTTGAGTGTCCAATTATTCTGTTAAAGCCTAAAGGTTCCTCCAATTTTCAGTCCTGATGCTAAATCTTTCTAGTTTTCAGGAAGTCCCTGAAGGTGCTCCTGATTGCTTGGCTGGCTTAACTTTTGTCATCAGTGGAACACTTGACAGGTATTTTTTTTAATATCTATGTGCCATTAACATGCTTATTCTACTTGCCCTTATGCGAAAAAGTGACTTTGTGCACATTTTCTTCTTGGAACTGTGCATTATATTTTATGCTGCAATGTTTACCCCGTTTCTTTTTGCGCATGACATGTCAATTTTTAGACTCTGGTTTACAAGTCCCTTGTACTGCAGCCATTACTTAGCAGTTTCCTACTCCTTGAACTTTGTTCTTGTAGTTTAGAAAGAGAAGAGGCGGAAGACTTGATTAAACGCTATGGTGGTCGTATCACTGGATCTATCAGCAAAAAGACGGTCATTCCATATTTATGTTTTATATTTGCTGGAATTCATGTTGCATTCTTGGCATATGATTAACACTGTCCACCTGCAGAATTATCTCTTATGCGATGAAGATATTGGGGGAAGGAAGTCGACTAAAGCCAAAGAGCTGGGGTTTGACATCTCTGATCCTTATACATTGGGATTTAAATTTTCATTTCTTATTTTTTAAAATTTTTTGTTTTTTCTTAGCAACTATGTTTTGTTGTAGCACTTCCTTCCTTACTGAGGATGGATTATTTGATATGATTCGTGCATCCAATTGTGGAAAAGCACCTTCAAAAGCAGTGTCAAAGAAATCTGTGGATAAAGTTGCTGCATCCGTGCCTATGGAGAGCCCTAAGAAAGCAGAAGTGAAGAGTATGCTTAACTGATTATGTGCTTTTGGCTTTTTGTTGCCTTGCATTCAACAGTTTACTTCACATGATAATATCCATCTTTTGTGGTGTGACTTTTAATAAACAATAAGTTTGATGGTGAATTTAAGTTGCTTCTTTGCTTATGGCATAGGCAACTCTTCAGCAACAAAGGTTTCTAGCAAGACCTCAAAGACAAGTGTCTCATCTTTGAAGCAGACACAGCAAACTCCCCAACAGCCTTCCCTGATGTGGACTGAAAAATATAGGCCAAAGGTTCCTAACGAGCTTGTTGGGAATCAATCACTGGTATCTGTCATCTATCAAGCTTTTCTGTGAATCATTTGTATGTTCTGTCTCTTGAAAGGCTTCTAATTATGATCTCTTTCTCTAATAATGTGCAGGTTACCCAACTTCATAATTGGTTGGCACATTGGAATGAGCAGTTCCTTCATACTGGGACTAAGGGAAAGGGAAAAAGGCAAAATGATCCTAATGGCAAAAAGGCTGTTCTGTTAAGTGGAACACCTGGTATAGGAAAAACTACCTCAGCAAAATTGGTTTGTCAGATGCTAGGTTTCCAGGCAATTGAGGTGCAGTTTCTTTGACCAATGGCAATCTTGCTCATTACCTTTAATCCTTATCTTTCGAATTTCGATATATCAATGTGCCTTGACATGACTACCATACATTTCATTTAGGTAAATGCTAGTGACAGTCGTGGGAAGGCTGATGCAAAAATTTCTAAAGGAATTGGTGGAAGCAATGCAAATTCTGTCAAGGAACTTGTTAGCAATGAAGCCTTGAGTGTTGACATGGATCAGTATGTTCTACAATCTGCACTCTTGTTGAATCTTGCATCAATTGATTAGAATATTCTTGGGATGTCTTGAAATGTTTTCTTGCTCATGTTAATGATCAAAATTGCAGGTCAAGATGTAAAAAAACTGTCCTGATTATGGATGAGGTGGATGGGATGTCCGCTGGAGATAGAGGTGGAGTAGCTGATCTGATAGCTAGCATAAAGATTTCCAGAATCCCCATCATTTGCATTTGCAATGACCGTTACAGTCAGAAATTGAAAAGTCTTGTAAACTACTGCTTGCTTCTCACTTTCAGGAAACCTACAAAACAGCAGGTTTGTTTGTACTGTTTCTTATATAACTCTAGGATTTTTGTAGATGTTTTCCTTGTTTAGCCTATCTTCTTGTGATCAGATTTAAATCTGTGTTTTCTCTTTCTTAGTCTGATTTGAAAGCATGTGGAAGGCCCTACTTGTGCTGAGTCTGTATAGTTGTCACTTACACATTCACCTATAGATACAAATGGACAGAAAAAATACGTATAGGAAACATAATTAGCTATTACTTTTTCTTGTAATTCAGTGCTTGGTGAAGGGCCATTTTTGGAATGATTTCTGCTTTGTTATTTGTGCTTAAGTGCTATTTATTTATTTGTTGATTCTTGTGTCCACTTTGATGGAGAACAACATATCCAAAAAACATGCATGTGTAATGTTGTCTATACTTGTGTCTCCCTGAAGCATGTGTGCATGGATTTGTGGTATAAAATTAATATTTCTGTGCCCACATCCCTGTGAGTTAATGAAATAAAAATGAAAGTTTCTCTTCTCTCTCTCTCTCTCTCTCTCTCTATATATATATATATATATATTTATATATAAACCATCTATTTAGTCATTGTGGTGTAAATTGGCTTAGTGGGTGGAGGGTCTGAAAGCAATAGCAGTGTATAGTTACTAAAACTGATTTCGTATGTGGCAGATGGCAAAGAGATTAATGCAAGTAGCACATGCAGAAGGTCTTGATGTTAATTCGGTAATGTTCTATTCTATTTTATTTGTCAACTTATGGTTAAGGGTTTAGGTTGTTAATAATTAGTTTTAATTTGGTATTGTTCTGTTCTATTTTATTTGTTAACTTATATTGTTAATACTCTTTTTGTTGGCATTGGTAGCTCCATTTGTTTTATGGATACCATGATGCAGTCCTGAGAAAATGGGAATTTATATTAATTAGACAGAAAACATGATTCATTTTTGGTGTTTAAAATCCCTATGTTGGCCAAAAAATGAAATCCACATGCTAGTCTCAAATGTGTTATAAACTTTTGTTAATCGATTATGTTTTCTTGAGGAGTATTGAAGTTTTGATGACATTTTAATCTGTAACATTTAATGAATGTTGCTTAATATTGTTCCATCTAACAATTGCCTCAATTCAATCAATTCAACAGATAGCTCTTGAGGAACTTGCAGAAAGAGTGAATGGAGATATGCGCATGGCACTGAACTTGCTGCAGTATATGAGTCTTTCCATGTCAGTTATCAAGTATGATGACATAAGGCAGCGTCTTCTTAGCAGTTCTAAGGATGAAGATATTTCACCTTTCACTGCTGTAGATAAGTATGGTTTTAAGGATATTCTTCTTCCTTTTTTTGACTTAATATTGCTTCTTGTTTGGTTTCCAAATATCTTTTCTGACTGTATTTTTGTAAATTGTTGATTAGCACTTTTGCACCATGAAGTGTTCTTGAAATGCAAATTCTATGTTGAAATCAAATTCTTAGCCTGTAATCTTTTAAAGCTCCTGATAATTCTGCAGTTGCTGACTTGCCTTGCCCCAAAATTTGTTATTATTTTAGGCTGTTTGGCTATAGTGGGGGAAAGCTGAAAATGGATGAGCGGGTTAACCTCAGCATGAGTGATCCTGATTTAGTTCCTCTTCTTATTCAGGTTCTTTCCTTCTGAGCTCATATTTGTTTTACTATTGTTGAATCATGGATGTCTCTAGAGCCAGTTTGGTGATTATTGAAAGCTAAAATGCTTTATATTCTTATGTAATTCAGTTCTTAGGAGAGTGGCTTATACTTGTATATAAGCATTAATGGTAATTTGTAAGAGTAAAAGGTCTCATGAATTTGATGGAGCTTTAGATGTGGACTAACAAACCCTGTAAATCAATGCTGTTTCCAGTAGACTACCCAACTTTCACTCAAGAAACTTAAGAAATTAATAAAAGCATGGAAGTACAATATGATGAGCTTACCCTGTTCTTTAAATATTCTTTTTCATGATACTTCTTGTTGTCTACATACACTCCCTTCACTGTGTCAAAATTAGCATACTGCAAATAATTGTATCTATGCATAGATGTAACCTTTATTTTTTATTTTTTCTAATTATATGGCAGGAAAATTATATTAATTATAGGCCAAATTCAACTGGTAAAGATGACAATGGACTGAAACGCCTGAGCTTGATTGCCCATGCTGCTGAGTCTATTGGAGATGGAGATATAATCAATGTGCAGATTCGAAAATATCGGCAGTGGCAGCTCTCGCAAGCTGGTTCCCTTGCATCGACTATCATTCCGTGTGTATATTTGTTTAGTCCTAAAATAAAAATACATCTTAAAGGTTTTCATTTTGCTTTATAATGACATTCTTTACTCTTGTTTGTTTGATTAGTGCTGCATTGTTACATGGACAAAGGGAAATACTTGAACAGGTATTGGATGTCAATCATGCTGGTGTTTATGCTAGTTATATGTTTTTCATACTTATTCTTTATCATATTTTCCTGTCTTAATGATATTTCCAATCCTGAGAAATAGCATTAGGAAGGTCATTTTTATACCCTAACCTTTTATACTAATTTGACTGCTGTGCCTGTTCTTATCAGAACAAAATAGAAATAGAAACCCTTGCATTAAATATTAAGGAACTTGCTTCTACATTAACATGCTCACCATAATAGTGCACTAAGTTGCAAGTTTTAATCTCATCAGGTTTCCATCTTGGAATGCTTAGAATTTCTGAAAATGGATGAATGAAACTTGATGTACTGCCTCACGTTTTCAGTGAAGATTCTGTGGTAGAATTTAGATGTTGGTGGGATTGGATTTTAGGTGTGTTTCTAATGGTAGCAGCTTGCTTAATATCTGCAGGGAGAACGAAATTATAATAGATTTGGTGGGTGGCTTGGAAAGAATTCGTCTATGGGAAAAAATTTTAGGCTTCTGGAGGATTTGCATGTTCATCTCCTTGCCTCTCGTGAATCTAGTTCAGGAAGGTATGTTGTGTATATCAGGATAACAATCTCATGAAATCATATCATTAGTTTGAGGAAAAACATAGAAGCATAATGATGAAAAGAACAACTTTCGTTGCTCTGCAGAGTAGTTTTTCCATTGTTTCTTTGATTTTAGATGTTCCTTCTCATCTGGGATTCATCCTAGATGCTTCATTATGTGTTATAAGTTGCATAACCATTATTATGTTGCAAATGGAACAGGAGGATTCTGCGTCTTGAATATCTCACACTTCTTTTGAAGCGACTGACTGATCCACTTCGGAAGTTGCCTAAGGTTTGGAACTGCCTTATGTTAGTAGTTGCGGAACATTTTCTATTTGTAGGCAAATTGATTGCTGGCTAGGTGCTGAGACAAAGAGGTGATGCTTTTTGATGTACTTTTGCAACTCAGATGAAGCAGATGGAGACTTGATATTGAGAGAGGGGGTTGGGGGGTGGGGGTGGAGTGGGTTGTCAAACAGTTGTCTGATATCACCCATGCTAGATTATTGAATGGGCCCTATTAGAAGGAGGGTTTAGTCTTTTATATGGGGGGTTTTTGACATTTTTTAAAAATCAACAAAAGCAAACAGCTTATCCTTGAATTCTTCTCTTTCGGTGGTTTCGGCTTCCAGTTGTCCATGGCTTCTTGCCTAAGTGTGTGTGTATGTTGTAAGTACCTTTCATGTCTCATTTTCTCGGAAATATTAATACATTTTCTTTATCATATATGACCAGGATGAGGCTGTTGAGCAGGTGGTAGATTTCATGAATGCTTACTCAATAAGCCAGGAAGACTTTGATACTATTGTGGAGTTATCAAAATTCCAGGTATTGCTACCTCTGGTCCATAGTTAATGTGTATATGCTATTTCCCATGTTCATTTTTTTATTATTATTTTGTGCATCAGGGTCATCCAAATCCTCTAGAAGGTATTCCACCTCCTGTCAAAGCAGCTTTGACAAAAGCATATCATGAAGGAAGCAAATCAAGGATGGTACGTGCTGCTGATTTAATTACTCTTCCTGGAATGAAAAAGGCCCCCAAGAAGCGAATTGCTGCAATTTTGGAACCATCTGATGATGGTTTAGGGGAGGAGAATGGTGACACATTAGCAGAAAATGGAGAAAATGCTTCAGACTCAGAGGACGTTGGTAAGCTCTTGTTTTTATTACTGTTGAATACTTGACCTGTTTGCTGGTAGCTTCTGTGACTCATTTACACCAATTTTTTGACAAGTGTCCCACTTGCAAAATGGAAATAATTGGAAAAAAATGCAGGCATCAAACTCAGTAAAGTGATCCTGGGAAATATTTTTCCTGCTTCCGTATTGACCTAGGTAGAAATATTTGTCAAACAACAAGGGTCCTCCATTACATCACAGGAAATCAAAAATCCATTGATCATTAATGATTGGAGGGAAAAAGTTATGCGCAAAGTGTGCAAAAAATAAAGTTTAAGTGGTTGCTGGTTCACTGTTATATGGTGAAAATAGAAATAGCATGGTGTACAATGCTTTGTAAGATTCTGCAATGAGATAGAATATCTGCGAACATGTTGATTAATTGCTTCTGTGATACTTTTTCTCCTAACATGTCAGAAGGCACAGCCAATGGTGAGAAGCTGCAAGAACTCCAAAGTCTGAATTCTAAAGGTTGATAATATAATCTCACATTGTCTTTGGATCATTAATTTGTTGATCTTTATGACATTGTCTTTTCATTTGTCTTTTTTTTTTTCATATATTCCATAGGAATCAAGGTTGAATTGGAATTGAAGAGTGCTGGGAATTCAAACACCAAGAAGGCACCAGCAGGCAGAGGAAGAGGCAGGTCTACACCTACCACAGGAAAGAAAGGTGGGCGGGGCTCTGGGGCCGGTGCTAAGAGGAAAAGATGAGATGTTGATTATGTAAATGGCGGGTTTTATAATTTTTGGCAATGCCTAGGACAATTGTCATTGTGGCTAGTATTTCCCTTAATGTACTTGGAACGTCATCAGAGATTGTTGGGACTAGAATTTTAGGTAGACGGTTCCTGTTTTTTCACTTTTTCCTAATGGTATAGCGGATGTTTTACAGTCTATATTTTGAATTTTGAATTTTGGTCTTTTGAGGCTTGAGCATGACATGGAAATGATGGAATGCTCATAATTTCAATTGGAGCAAGTGCTGTTACCAACCCAACTTGCGGGGGCTTTTGGTTTTTTTTTTTTTTATGTTTAAAGACTATGAATTGAATCTTAAACTTGTAATAATAAATATAGAGGTATGGCTTTTAGTACTCTCAACATGAAAACAATAGTTAATGGACAAATTTATACTCATAAAGATGTTATTGATTTTTAACTTCTGAGATATGTAAAATTTAGTATGCACCCACGCAATGTGTTCTTATTGGACTTGTTTGGAATATCGTAATGGTAAACCTTGGGGACCCAATCGGTGCAAACGAAAGATTTGTGACCCAATCAATATTCCTAACAAGTTAGGGACCAAAATATCAAGATTGAAATTGGACTCGGCCGCATTTAACCAAAACAGCATTCCCAACAATGCTCATTTCAAGGTCCCGATTTTCTGATTTCAGATATAATAGTTGAAGTTGAATCGGGGACGGGAGCGGCACGGATCCGACGCGAAAGAAGTCAGTCTTTCCCTCTCTTATAAAAGCTCAAAAAAAGGGGAAGAAATTACCTTGGTTAAGTCATCACTTCGGCTAGTTCGTAAAAGAGCAAGGAAGCACTAGTACGAGTTCACGAAGAACCGGCCGTATCTATCTGTCTCCACTCGAGAACGGAATGGGGCAGAACCCACCTGGGGAAGAGGGATGGTAAATTCCAATCACTAAATTGGATGGAACGATTGGCGAAAGCTTAGACTTTGCATTTGCTGGCTATGATGCAAAGTCCGAAGCTAAGAGGTATCCTTTTGGGGTGCACCAGATACAGAGGAAATATCACCTTGTTGGATTCTTTTCTTCTTCTGCTCCCGAGTTCTTCTTCTTCATTAGCAGCTAAGGACAGATTCTGTGTTCCCAAAAGGCGGAGCTTTTCTGGCTACGCAGCAGAACAGTTCTCAGATGATGCGTATGAGTGCGATTTTGAGAGTCAAAAGGTTTTTTTCTTTCTCGAATCGACTCTCTTTCACTTTCGTTTTTGAGTCGCATTGTCAAATTTTTGTCTTTTTTCCCCAAATTTTCTCAAATGGGAATGCAGGCTCTTTGTTGATTGCTGAGATAGTTTAGACGAAAAAAAGGAATTGAAATCAGTTAAAGCTATAAAGCTTAGTACTTTTTTTTTTTTTTTTAATCTCTTTTGCAATCCCAGTTTTTGTTCTAAGCATGTGAGTGAAAGTGTAGGTTGGTGTTAATAATGCAATATTTTGATGTTAGGCTTCATCGTCTGTTGCCAATATTGATGAGTGGAAATGGAAACTCAGCATGCTGTTACGAAATGAAAATGATCGAGAGGTTGTATCCAGAGATAAAAGAGATAGGAGAGACTATGAACAGATCTCAAACCTTGCTAGAAGGATGGGACTTTACAGGTAAGTGGCAATATGTCCATTGAATGTTTGATTGAGATGATGAATCTGTTACCTTATTATGCATGTTTTATTGATTTCTCAGTGAAATGTATGGAAAGGTCGTGGTTGCAAGCAAGGTTCCACTTCCTAACTACAGGCCAGATTTAGATGATAAGCGGCCACAGCGTGAGGTATCAAAATTTGGGGAGATTGTAAAATGCATTAAAATCCCCGTTGCTTCAGTAGTTTTACAGGTATAGAGCATTAAAATGTTGATCCTCACTTTTACAGGTGGTTATCCCTTTGAGCTTGCAAAGGAGGGTTGAGGGTTTACTACAGGAACACCTTGATAGAATGCAGTTAAGTTCTAGGAAGGTCTCTGAGTCTGATGGTACCAACTCTATTGAGGATGTGAATCTGGAAGAGAATCCAGATTCTTTCCTTGATAGCTCTGTTATGGAAAAGGTTCTTCAGAGAAGGAGTTTGCGAATTCGTAATATGCAAAGAGCTTGGCAGGCAGGATCTTATTTTAGTTTCTTTCTTTTTTTTCTTTTCTTTTTTTAACCTACTTTTCATTCTAGGAAGTGAGCTTGTTTTAAGGCACAAATTATAAAATGAAAACAGTTTCTGTTGCATGGTGTGATAGTTGCTGAAATATATTTGCTTTCAATTTACAGGAATCACCTGAAGGCAAGAGGATGATGGAATTCCGTAAATCTCTACCTGCATTCAAGGAAAAGGAAAGGCTTCTTGAAGCAATTGCACGGAATCAGGTTGAGTTTGCAACAACTTGTGCATGATACATTTAGTATTGGCCTTTTTATTGTTTAAATTAATTGTTTGTCTTTTATTTCTTATTTTCTTTTGGAGCTCATGCGTTTCTTTCATTCTGTTAGGTCATCGTGATATCTGGGGAGACTGGATGTGGGAAGACCACTCAACTTCCACAATACATATTGGAATCAGAGATAGAATCTGGTCGTGGTGCATTCTGTAGCATAATTTGCACTCAGCCTCGAAGAATATCAGCCATGGCTGTTGCAGAGAGAGTATCTGCAGAGAGGGGAGAACCTCTTGGTGAAACAGTGAGTCTTATCTCATCAATGAACTAGCATATGCAAGCACAAAAAATGTAAATTCTTTCCTAAAGGATAGTTTTCCATTTTGAAAACTTCTTTATATCTTCTTCTATACTCCAACACAGATTTTTTGATAGGTTGGCTATAAAGTTCGATTAGAGGGTATGAAAGGGAAAAATACCCATCTTCTCTTTTGCACAAGTGGTATTTTACTTAGACGGCTGCTAAGTGACCGCAACTTGAATGGAATAACTCACGTTTTTGTAGATGAAATTCATGAGCGAGGAATGAATGAAGGTGTCTCTGAAATGGAATCTGTTTGGTGATTTTTTTTTTCTTAGAGTTTGATTCTTAATATTAATTTGTGCCCCTTTTGCTATTATTTTCCAACAGATTTCCTATTGATTGTGTTGAAGGATCTTCTCCCACGCCGTCGGGATTTGAGGTTAATTTTAATGAGTGCCACTTTGAATGCTGAGCTGTTCTCTAATTATTTTGGTGGGGCACCTACAATTCATATTCCAGTAAGCCAAAATTTCACCTCAATTGTTTGTGTGAAAAGCTCTTTGCCATGCACAGACCATAGAATAAGCAGGATGTTTTGCATATCACCTACCTGAGTAATCATTGTTTTATTATTATTTTTTTCCATTTTGTTTCTATTTGGATGGGATTCAAAAATGAGATCTTAGGTGGTCATAGGTTAAATTATTGTGAATTTTCCATGTGTCTACCTTTTTGCTAAGATGTGTACTTGACCACATAAATTGTTCTATCAAGGTGATTCATGTGATTTTAAGTGTGTTTATGTGTTATTCAGGGTTTCACATATCCTGTGAGGGCACACTTTTTAGAAGATGTTTTGGAAATGACTGGATATAAGTTGACTTCTTTCAATCAAATTGACGATTATGGCCAAGATAAGATGTGGAAAACACAGAGGCAGCTAGCTCCACGTAAAAGGAAGAACCAAATTACTGCTCTTGTTGAGGTATAGTGCAACTTGCTTTCGGTAAAACATCACTTTTAGATGGAAATAACAGCTGGCTCCAAAGAAAAGGAAAACCCAATTCACTGATCTTCTTATTCTTATTTAGGATGCTCTTAATAAATCAAGCTTTGAGAACTATAGTTCCAGGGCACGTGATTCTCTAGCAAGTTGGATGTCTGACTGCATAGGATTTAATCTCATTGAAGCAGTTCTCTGCCATATCTGCCGAAAGGAAAGACCAGGTGCTGTATTAGTATTTATGACTGGCTGGGAGGATATTAGCTGTTTGAGGGATCAACTTAAGGCTCATCCCCTTATAGGAGACCCTAATAGAGTTCTGGTTCTAACATGTCATGGTTCAATGGCGACATCTGAGCAGGTAGCTTAATTTCTTTTCTGTTTCTAAATAGATGCATGTCTTTTTGTGACATATACTGTGACATGATCTCCAGTTCAATCCAGTCTTACTGATTAAGATAACACAATTCAGTGTTTCTATGTTTCTTTCATTCTGCAGAAACTAATATTTGAGAAGCCACCTCCTAATATACGTAAAATTGTTCTTGCTACAAACATGGCAGAGGCTAGCATCACTATCAATGATATTGTTTTTGTGGTAGATTGTGGAAAAGCAAAAGAGACCACTTATGATGCTTTGAATAACACACCTTGTCTGCTACCTTCCTGGATATCAAAAGCATCAGCTCGACAAGTATGCATCTTTAACTTAGGCTCAGTTTATCTGTGTGCATATGCATGCATCTAGTTATTTATGCATGAATCTCTTCCATTTACACTCAAAGATGAACATGCAGGCATCCATTGACACATTCATACAATTTTTACTTTATTCATTGCTAAATCATTGACATCAGAACTGAAGAGGTAGGAGTGGAACATAAATGTAATCCTTGCCCTATTTTTACATCTATGCATGGACATGCATGTATATGGGTTGGCAGGGCTGCTGCCTGTATTTTTTTGCTTGCGACCCTTTCAATTGTAATGGGTTTTGTTCAACCTATGACCATTTGGTCATGATAGGAAGTCGTTTCTTGAGTCTTGGAATGGTTGGAATAGTTAACATCTCTGATATTGTTAGTATTTTTCAAGTAATCTTTACTTCTATGATTACAGCATAATTCTGATTTATGGTCTTCCTCCTCTATAGGTGTTCATTTCATCTTCATACTTCCCTCTTTATATTAAAGTGGCTTTTGATGGGTTTATCCTTGAATTTGCAGAGAAGGGGCAGAGCTGGCCGGGTGCAGCCAGGTGAGTGTTACCACCTATATCCCAGATGCGTTTATGAAGCTTTTGCGGAATATCAACTTCCAGAACTTTTGAGGACTCCATTGAACTCTCTCTGCTTGCAAATAAAAAGTCTGCAGGTTGAAAGCATTGGAGAGTTCTTGTCAGCAGCTTTGCAACCACCGGAATCATTGGCTGTAAGTTATAGTTCTAGTGGCTTTTAGAAAAGATTGCAATTTAAATATTTTTGTTATATAAATTCCTTCTTACAAGATTATTTTTCTCCTGATGAGAGACGAAGAGGGAAAAGAAATGAAAAATCCAGCCATTTGTATTATATTATATGATGCTTGCAACTTGTAAAAAAAATGAAGAAAATGAAATTCAAGTTTAAGTCTGATCCTTCTTTTGTATAAAATGCTAGAACAATACTTGTAAGGGAAATGGATTGTCATTTGGGTCGATATTTGACTAATAGAGATGGTATTATTACCACTTCCAAATCTCCAGTATGTTTATTTGCTATGAGCTGATACAGATACCTGAACCTTTCTCAAGGTCCTCCACATTATTCATTTTCCACCATCTATTTAGGTTGAAACAACACACTGTTTCAGATAATAACAAGCTATGGATGACAGGTCCAAAATGCCATTGATTTTCTAAAGATGATTGGTGCATTGGATGAGAAAGAAAATCTGACAAATCTTGGTTAGTTTGCTAATTACTCTGAGGGAGGTGTTTTTAAATGACTTATTTATACCTGTTGTGTGATTGCTAATTTAATTTCCATCTTTTTGTTGTTTTTTTCTTCCTACAATCAGGAAAGTTTTTGTCAATGCTTCCAGTAGATCCCAAGCTAGGGAAAATGCTGATCATGGGTGCTCTGTTCCATTGCTTTGATCCTGTTTTAACAATAGTTTCTGGACTTAGTGTCAGGGATCCTTTCCTTTTGCCTCAAGACAAAAAGGATGTAAGTAAATAGATAGCGCATTATATGTTAGGAGTTAATTGAAATATCTTCTTTTGGCTATGCATCTTTCTTCATCTTGATGAATGTGATTCTTTTTTCTTTTTTTTTTGTCTTTCTTTTGGCTCTTTAATTACTGAAAATGATTTTTTTCTTCGCCTCAGTTAGCTGGGACAGCAAAGTCCAGATTTTCTGCAAAAGATTACAGTGATCATATGGCTCTAGTACGTGCCTATGAAGGCTGGAAAGATGCAGAAAGAGAAGGATCAGCATATGAGTATTGCTGGAGGAATTTCCTGTCTGCACAAACTCTTCAGGCCATCCATTCTCTTAGGAAGCAGTTTAGCTTCATTCTAAGAGAAGCTGGCTTGGTGGGTGCAGATGCAAGTACTAATAACAAATTGAGTCACAACCAATCCCTTGTCCGTGCAGTCATATGCTCTGGCCTCTTTCCTGGAATAGCATCTGTGGTGGTGAGGCACATTTATCATTCAATAAACCAGCTATGCTTAATTTCCACTGTATGAGTTGTCTGATGCTAATAATTTTCCACATGTGCAGCATCGAGAGACATCTATGTCTTTCAAAACAATGGATGATGGTCAAGTTTTACTCTATGCTGTAAGTGTAAAATTGACTTTCAGTAATTTTAACTTTAAAGGAAGAATTAAAACAATCCATGTAGTGGAAAAGATTTATACATTCTGGTTCTGATCTAAGTACTGTCAAATGCTTTTGCTTCAGAACTCGGTGAATGCACGTTATCAAACAATTCCTTACCCATGGCTGGTCTTTGGTGAAAAAGTCAAGGTCAATACTGTGTTCATACGTGATTCCACTGGTGTCTCTGATTCTATACTGATGCTTTTTGGTGGTGCTCTAAGCTGTGGAGTGCAGGTGATTCAATCTTTTGACAGATATTTTTGTTTTCTTTGTGTTGCCCTAGGATTTAACTGCTAGGGATTTATATCTAGAAACCTTCCTTTTTTCAGGCTGGGCATTTGAAAATGTTGCAAGGTTATATTGATTTCTTCATGGATGCTAGTTTAGCAGAATGCTATTTGAAGCTCAGAGAAGAACTCGACAATCTTATCCAGAGAAAGGTGAGATAGAAAAATCTACATATTGTTTAGATTTTAAGTGTTCTTAGTGTATTGGCTTTCTCTATCTTTCTGCTTTATATGTCATAGAGTCTGATATGCTGGCTTGCAATGTAGCTCGAGGATCCAAATTCTGACATTCACAAGGAAGGAAAATACCTTATGCTTGCTGTCCAAGAACTGGTATCAGGTGATCAATGTGAAGGAAGATTTGTGTTTGGTCGTGAAAGCAAGAAGCCAAAGAATTCCAGTGACGAAAATAGATTTACTCGGGATGGAACAAATCCCAAGAGCTTGTTACAGACTCTGTTGATGAGGGCAGGACATTCACCTCCAAAATACAAAACAAAGCACCTAAAAACAAATGAGTTTAGGGCACTGGTGGAATTCAAAGGAATGCAGTTTGTAGGAAAGCCCAAGAAAAACAAGCAGCTCGCGGAAAGGGATGCTGCTATAGAAGCATTAGCCTGGTTGACTCACACCTCTGACAAAAATCAAGATGAAGACGATAACTCTCCACCTGATGTCACCGATAACATGCTAAAACTTCTTGGGAAACGTCGAAGATCCAAACGCCATTAAGGGACGGTGGTGGGCTTTTCTAACGGATGCATCTTGTTGACAGTGGCTCTAAAGTTGCTTGGTTACAACAAGTATATGCAAGCTCCAAGCTGATGTGTCTACATGCAAAAGTAAGTGGAATACAACATAGCCCCATGGGCACCATGGTTTGGTAAGGTGAGATTTTCACATGAAACAGTGATGTCGAAAGGAGGTACAGCTGATGTGAGTTTCATCAGGGCGAATGCGATGTAAGTTTACTCTGTAAAAGGGTTTTCTTCAGGCCGGCATGCTGGTGCTCGAACTTACTCATCAGTTTCGGTAGTTTTGCATGAATTTGGAATTGAAGGTGGCTTCAATGCAAGTGATGCAGTTTGAGCTAGGAAATGTATATTCTAGAGAACTAGTGCAGCAATCAACATTTTTATGTTAATGAATACGTTATTCCTAAAATAATAAATTTATTTATTTATTTCTTTTGTGGTAGAAAATAATATATTTAAAAATTATTTTACAGAATGGATTATATATAGTTTGTTTTGTAAAATTATATAAATATTTTTAAATAAATAATATAAAAACAAGATTAGGGGTATTCAAATAATTTTATAAGGTAAATTGTATGTAGTTTGTTTTGTAAAATTATTTAAATGTTCCTAAATAAATAATACAAAAATAAAATTTAAAACATTTTAATCATTTTATAAGATAGACATGTGTTTATCTTATAAAGCAGTTTTCTCGTATATTTTTAATGGGTTTTTTTTTTTTACGGTTTACGGGTTATATCTCTTCTTTGGTCCTCGATCTTTCTAGCATTGAACACTTTCATGCCCTAGTAATTGCAATTGTCAATCTTTCTACTAAACCGGAGTGGGAGGATTATAGCTACCACGTGGACAAAACGAGGCCCTTGCTAAACCGGCAGTATCTTCGTCTGTTCATCCTTTCTCCTTTGCTTCAAAGCGATGGCAAACGCCACATCGCTGTTCCTCTCTCCACTATTCTCACCCAGGAGAACCAACGAATTTCCCTTTCCTCAATTCTCCAAAAGACGCTTCTTCAATCCTCAATTTCAACGTTACGATCTCTCGGCTGTTGGTTCCCGCCAAAACGACCTTTCTCGGGTGACCTTCATCCCTACAAAGTTGAAATCTTTGGTCGTAAAAGCACAGAATGTTGTCGTTAGAGCCCCCATGGTTCCTCCCTACAATGTGCTCGTCACTGGCTCAACAAAAGGTTGATTT